TTTGCTAATTTGATGGGCTTTCCAGGTCCACATCTTGGGTCTCCCAGACCACCGTTTACTGGGAACCCTCGTCATTTTCCGCCGGTGAATCTTCTGCTATCATTTCGCGGATGTTGCTTCTTCTTTGATTTTGGAAACAATTATTTCCAGCAGCTCTGTTTCCTTGGTATCCGTTGTCCGGTCGGCTTCTGCATTCTCGTATCCGATGCCCTGCTTTTCCACACCTTAGGCATAGTTTCCCATTCATCCTTCTGGCGTACTCTTCCTTAGACAGATTCAGAGCAGGCCCTGCCCTTGACTTGTCTAACTCCATTGGTTCGCCTGGTGGTAATGCTCGACTTTCCCCTCGAGGTGCTTGCGGTTTGAAGGTCCCGTCCCCGTTCCTGGATGATTGGACCACTCTATGCGCTAGAGTGTTTTCCGAGTTGCTCCGAACCATGTTTAATTTGCTTTCTTTATCGATTGCCCATCTTGCAAACCGTTCGGCTGTCGTATAGTGCAGGTCAGAGATTCCCCATGTTTCTCGGAGTCTCTCACTGCAGTTTCTCAGGAGGATGATGTAGAGAGTTGCATCATCAAACTCGGCCTCGTATTCCAATAGTCGACATTCATTCCAATATGCTGAGAATGTTTGTTTTCCTTGTTGGAGTTTTTCTAGCTTTCGTCTTGCTGTTTCTTTGGCATTGGGATCTCCAAATTGTTCAAAGAGTGTCGCCTTGAATTCTTCGTATGTGACCCATTCCCTCTGCTTCCTTCCATCTTGGAAAGGCATGATCCATTACCCTGCTAGTCCTCTGAGCAGGGATTCCACATATGGAATCTTGATTTCGTCGTGTTGATCTCCATATCCCTTAACAGCAAAATATCCTTCGCATTGTGCTAAGAATATTCATAGCTTATCTTCAGCTCCTTCGTATGTGTCGGGCTCCTTTGCTTTTGGCCATTGGACATTTCCTTGCCCTGTATTCCACGTGGCTGCGAGAAATGCCTGAAACTGATTTTCTGTCATTCCAAGTATGCTGGTTCCTGGTGCCGGAGCGGCTGGGGCCAATAGACCAGGTACTACGGATCCCGACATTCTCTCAAGTCGTGGAGTTCCAGCAGGAGAGCTATCAACTGGTGATCCTTTCTCTGGGGTTACTGGGCTTGCTGATCTCGAGAGTTCTGCTGAGATGTGATCTAGGGCGTCGCTGAATCCTCCTAGATTAAGATTTTGATCGTCAATGTCACTATCTCCTTCCCTGTCTGGGTTGAAGGATGCCGTCTTGTATCGTTTGGCATCGCACTAGGTGACACTTTGTAATGTAACGATCCCTTTCTAGATAGTTAGTTCTTGGCAACGGGGAACGATACTTATCGTTTCTATCTCCTTCTTTCTTTGTTTTACGATAACTCTAGGTCCCTGCCTACGTTACCGATAGTGCAAGACCTTTGTCTTCTATCGGAAATGCCTATCATAAGCCTTCTCTAACTCATCTTCGTGACGAGCACTTCTTGGCGTAACAATAATGTTACAATAAAGATAAAGATCGTAAAGGTGTTTTATATTCGTTAAAGTAATAAGTAGGAAAAGTACATAGAACAAAGTGTGAAGAACCTATCTTCCTCGGCCGCATCGGCCTCCTTATATAGTATTCTTCCCGCCCGTAGTCATGTGACCTAAAGTGGTCACATGTGCAAAACCAAATCATAACAAACTAATGATGTGACCAAAGTGATCACATGCGCGAAACCCATGACCTGATAATGAGGTCATGTGCAAAACATAAATCATATGCACAAGGCTTACCCGCAAGGCATACTCACAAGGCATACTTGTCAGGCACACGTCCCATGACTCATACTTGAGCCATGTGCGAAAGCATCACAAATCCCACACATAACAAATCATATAACCCTAATGAGTCATATACGCAAAACAATAACATACCTGTGACTCATAACTATGCATCACATGAAACCCCTTTCCCTACTAAGCCACATTCGTGACACACGTGAAAGCTTCTTTCCTGCCAAGCCACGTTCATGACAGTACTATTCACATTATCAGTAATAGGTAAAATAGTTGGCAGGTGGCCTGCTCTACCAGAGAGGAGGTGAGAGCTGTTAACTAAAGGAGTCTTTGAAGGTGTACTAAGAAACAAAGGAGTAACAGTTCAACCGGTATATTGAAATACTGTCTGTTGAAGTCTGCTGTTTCTATTATGGAATCAGGCAGTCTTTAAATACACAAATCTGCTCATGTTTAGCATGAATGAAACTATTCAAAGATATCAAATAATACACTTTAGTAAAACAACTTAAGTATCTAAACAATACTTAAAATAAAACAAAACTAAGTATCAAATGATACTTAAAACAATCCAAGTATCAAAGTGATACATAAAACAAAACAAGTATCAAAGTGATACTTCAAGCAAAACATAAAACAAAACTAAGTATCAAAGCCTTACTTAAAACAAGTAAGTATCAAAGTAATACTTAAAACAAAATAAGTATCAAAAGTGATACTTAAAACAAAACATAAAATAAAACTATTAATCGAGTACCCGTACTAATTACAAGTAGTTATTCAATCATTAGAGTCTTTAGACTTATAGCCTAGTTCTCAAGTCGAACTGAGTTGGCCCTAATTTTCTTTGTTATTAAAGAAATAATCAGTTTCATCTGCGGGTTGCATCTGTGAATGTAGTCGTAATTGCAATCTTTCTAAGTTGCTTGACTTTAAACCTTCATAACTCCTTATCCAACCAATATATATCTTCCAGAGGACTTCCTACTAATTCGCAGAAGGTGTAACGTGTTCGCAAGGTGCTAGTTACGTTATCGGTAAAGGTACGATAGTTGGCAGGTAGCCTGCTCGATCAGAGAGGAGGCAAGAGCTGAGAACTAAATGAGACTTCGAGGGTGTACTGAGGAACAAAGAAGTAACCGTTCAATCAAGTATATTGAAATACTGTCTGTCGAAGTCTGCCTTTTCTATGGTAGAAACAGGCGGTCTTTTAAATACACAAATCTGTTCATGTCTAGCATGAACGAAACTAATCAAAGGTATCAATTGATACACTTTGGTAAAACTAATTAAGTATCAAAGCAATACTTAAAACAAAACATATAACAAAACTAAGTATCAAACGATACTTAAAACAAAACATAAAACAAAACTAAGTATCAAAGCGATACTTAAAACAAAACATAAAACAAAACTAATAACCGAGTACCCGTACCGGTTACAGAAGACTATTTTACCAGATTGACAAATATTCTCTCACTCAGCAACACTTGGTTTCTCTAGGTAATAGGGTTACAATCGCTATTGTAGTATTGGAAGTTATTCCGAGTTATAACACTCCATGAAGTCTATTAGCTTCTATGGTAGTGTCCCTTGGAGTTCTAGATTCTTCTGGTTATTGTATGATGGATGTGAATGTATTGGTCTCTCCTTGAGATCCTTTACCATTCAATACTATCTTTTCCTACCAAAACGTCCCATGACTTATGACCTAGGCCAAAGATGTTACATCTTTGAAGCCTAGTAGCTCTCTGAGTAGTTGACAGATTTACTTTGTCCTACATCCCAGACTTAGCCTAAGGATCTCTCTCATATATTCTTTAAACAGGATCTGGTCAGACATATAGCGGCAACGTATACTGTATTATTCAGACACCTGCAATTCTGTGGCATTATAGTTACAGTACAAAACTGAGTTTGATATGTATTATAACATGTGGACCATACAAGGGGGCCTGAGGGGGGTGTTGGAGACTAGGGATTCCGATTCCAAGTAGAGTTACCCTACCTAGGATGATTCCTAGGTATCAGATCCTGGTTTTCCTAACATCCATATCTAGAAAGAATCTCTTATTGTATTTCCTAATTCCATGCAGCTTTGCAAATATCATAGTACTAACCAAAAGACAACTTTATTTCCATAGCATAATTGGCATTTATCCTAGTGAATTATTGCATTTGAGAAGCCTGTTTATGATATTCTCTCTTGTAGGAACTAGCCTCTTCAATCTTAGAAATGTGAACTTTATACTTAACTAGTTGCTGTGAGTACTGCTATTTAATATACTCCTCAATCTTCTTTTGATTGGATTTATTACCCTCATCTTCTAAATCTTAATATTAGTTAGTAATAAATAATACAACAATGATTAAACACTTTGCTTTCTCTATAAAATTGCGTTTTACAATTGGATAGTATACGTACCATCTATGCTTTCTATCTCTTCATACTCAGATTCATACTCAACCTCTGTCTCATGTCTCCCGACATATTCTTTACTTGAGATTGAATTACTGCTGAAGACTGACTCATTCGATGATATCAATAGCTTTGCCATTGTTGTAGCTGTTGCGAAAGGTTGTTGGATCTCTATAACCAAGCTATTGTTTACTCAGCTAATTCTGTTACAGAAAGCAAGTAGTATTATGGTAATTTGATATGACTTATCATATCTACAGAAGCTAAATTAAGTTTAAGTAAATATTTAATTAATCATTAAGCTAATACTTATAGTAAAACAATACTTTTTATTACATTTTCAGTTTGGTTTAACTAATACTACAACCATCATAACATATCACTCATTATATAAGTACAATCCATTGGTTGCATGTAACAGTAGCATTAGAAATTCAATTATTGAAAATACATGCAACCAACTTGAAACTGAAATAGTGCAGCAAGGAATAAACTTTTAATAATAATTCTTTGACATCAAGAATCCCAGAGAGCAAAAGTTATTTTACATGGCAAAAAGTGAAAATCTCAAAATTTCAGTTTTTCCTGCATAAAATATGCCACAGAGGTCACTAGGTGACAAATAATATTTTCTGAACTACTGAACATATACTCTAGATGTCTAGCTGGATGGCTAGGCCTAAATAAATTATCTGTGATTGTGGCCCGAGAGTGGGTTTTCTACTGAGACAGGCTCATATTACCATATGATAAAGAATCTGATGGACAAAAAACTTATCCAAAACAACTTCAGCCTCCCGCTCCCCACAACACCTGGTCTAGGGTTCTCAATTCCATGGACTGGAGAAGCACCTCCAGGTACTTAGCACTTTTCAAAGTCATCCGGTGACTTGGCCCTAGTGACTTTTCTCCTTCAGTAACTGCGCGTCGATACATAATCTCCGCTACATCATATTTTCTCTGATCCTGTAGCACCGTGCCGAGAGAAAAGATGGTCCGGAGGGTATGTGTGTGGCCCGGCCCCAGAGCCCTCTCTCGCCTTGCCAGCGTACGCCAATACATCATCTCCGCTTCGCAATATTTCCTCTGTTTCTGTAAGGCCCTAGCCAGGTTATAGATGCAAATTAGGGTGTCTCGATGGTCGAGTCCAAGTGTCTTCTCCGCCGCCACTAATGCGCGCCGATACATAACCTCAGCCTCATGGTGCTTTTTCTGATTACACAATGCCACCCCGAGATTATTGACAATGAGTAAGGTATCTTGATGAACTGGTCCAAGGGTCTTCTCCCGGCCTGCTAGTGCACGCCGGCACATCGCCTCGGCTTCGTCATACTTTTTCAGGTCAAGTAGAGTTTCACTTAGCGTGCTTACGCTGTCGAGGGTAAACTCGTGATCGGGCCCCAGAGTCTTCTCCATGCCCCCCAAGGTATGCCGATACATTCTCTCCGCCTCAGGATAATTTTTCCGATCAAGGAGCGTCACAGCTAGGCCATGGGAACTCAGTATGGTATCTAGATCGCAGGACCCAAGTGTCTTCTCTCTACCCGAATGTGCAGATCGGAACACCATCTCCGCTTCTTTGTACTTCCTCTGGTGATGTAGCGCTCGACCAAGATTATCGATACTCCTGAGAGTATCCGCATGATTGGCTCCAAAAACTTTCTCGCGACCAGCCAATGCAGATTGAAAAATAGCCTCCGCTCCCTCATACTTTCCCAGGTCAAGCAAGATCTCACCCAGTGTATTCATACTCTCGAGAGTAAACGGATGTTCAGGCCCCAGAACCCTCTCCATAGCCCCCAAAGCATGCTGATATGTGGTCTCCACTTCTTGATACTTTCTCTCGTCAGACAGAATCGCAGATGGGCTATCAGCACCCAGTGGGATGTCTGGATGAGGGGATCGAATTTCCATCCTTCTGTTCACCGGCCCGCACCGCTGTTTGGTATCCGCTTTCTCTCTCTTTTCCTGGCTACGCCCTTTCTTACCAGTGGTGGCAAAGCCCGGCCGAAGCGACTCCTCCCTCCCTTCTTCAGACTGGTACTGCATAATTTCAGCTCCATAATTCTTTTTCCGATTCCGTAGCAGTAGAACTAAATTATCAACACTTTGTAGAGTATCTGGATGATCTGGACCAAGTGTCTTGTCTCTACCCGCCAATGCACGTCGGTACATAATCTCCGCTTCGCCGTGCTTTCCACGGTTGTACAGCGCAGTGCCTAGGTTCTTCACGCTCCGTAAGGTCTCCGGATGACCCGGTCCAAGTGTCCTCTCTCTGCCCGCCAGTGCACGTCGATACATAACCTCTGCTTCATCGTGCTTTCCCTGGTTGTGCAACGCCGCGCCCAGGTTGGTCGCGGTATGTAAGGTATCCGGATGATCTGGCCCAAGTGCCCTCTCTCTACCCGTCAATGCACGTCGATATATAATCTCCGCCTCGCCGTTCTTTCCCTGGTTGCACAGCACCGTGCCTAGACTGTTCATGCTCGATAAGGTTCCTAGATGATCTAGCCCTAGTATCTTTTCTCCACCCGCCAACGCATGTCGACACATATTCTCTGCTTCAGCGTATTTCTTCTGGCCGTACAGCACCTCGACTAAATTCCGGACACTCGGTAAGATATCTGGATGGTCCCTCCCAAGTGTTTTCTCTTTGCCCGCCAATGCACGTCGATACATAATCTCCGCTTCATCGTGCTTTCCCTGGTTGTGCAACGCCGCGCCTAGGTTGTTCACGCTCTGTAAGGTCTCTGGATGATCTGGCCCAAATGCCTTCTCCCCACCCGCCAATGCGCGCCGATACATAATCACTGCTTCGTCGTACTTTCCCTGGTTGCACAGTGCCGCGCCTAGGCTGTTCACGCTCCGTAAGGTCTCTGGATGATCTAGCCCAAACATCCTCTCCGCAGTCGCCAATACACGGAGACACATATTCTCTGCCTCGCTGTACTTCCCCTGGTCCTGCAACTCCTCAGCTAAATTTCGGACACTCAGCAAGGTATCCGGATGGTCCCTCCCTAGTATCTTCTCTCTGCCCGCCAATGCGCGCCTATACAAAATCTCCGCTTCGTCGCACCCTCGTTGTCCATCCAGCATCGCATCTAGATCACCGACGTTTTGCAGGGTATGTTGATTAATGAACCCGGGTATCTTCTTCTCGACTGCCAACACGTGTTTATGAACAATTCTTGAATTATCGTGAACCGTCTGGACCGTTTAGGTGTGTGGATGTTCTGGTCCAAGTTGCTATGCCAAAGCTCTAACCCTCAAGTAAATCGTTAGTTTTTGGAATTGCTCCTTAAACCGCTAGCCATGAACTCAAGATTACTCTCATAACTTCTGCAAGGACCACACTTACTCCGCTCGGACACCTAGCCTACCTCGCGTTCCGCCCTGTTCGCTTTCTCCACCCCTCCCTGCCGAGGCTACTCTCCACTCCGCTTTCCCCTTAACCGAGGGTCTAATTGTGCTACAACCCCCAGCACCTAATATTAGATATGAGTGGGGCGTGTGCTGAGAGCGAAGATCAAAGTTGTGCGATATGAAGAAAATCTGTGACGTTTCACGTAAAACAGCAGGTGTTTGCTTTTGTAAAAAGTTCAACGAGTCTGAAATCGTTGAGAAGGATCGAGATCGGCAGAGGAGTTGGACAGATCAAGATCAAGGTGAGGCTGACACGTGATGTGAGCCTACCAAGCCAACAAGATACGGTAATCGCGCCCCGTTATCCCGGACCTCATGCTACCGGATCCCCCGGTTGTCCCGGATAAAATGACTCTTGATTCTAAAAACTTTTGCACTAAAACCTAACCTGCTATCCCGGATAACCCGCTGTTCCGGACGATTTTTTTTGATTTCGGCCAGATTTCGTGTGCGACCGCAATAGCCCTTGGCCTATCGTCCTTGTAAGCGACACCAACTGGAATAATTGAACTTTATACTATCACATTGGAGACATCCCCTACTATCCCCTGGACGGTTGAGGGGGTCTGGTAAAAGTTCTTTCATGCATTAGCGCATAGGAATAAACCTTAAATAGCTAGTAGCAACATACCTCTCAACATCACATATCGGTGGAGGCTTTTTCTATGTGATCGGTAAACACTACTTGAAAATTGCAACTTCGAACAGCCCGGAGAATCCAATAACGATATCCTCGAAGCATGCTCGAAAGTCCTCATGATCTAATTGTCAACAACAATCAAAACAAATGAAGCCCAAACAGGATTTCCCAAACTTTAGTACTTCAAATGCACCTACTTTTATGCTCCTCCAGAAACCTTCCAGCCGTTAGAGTTCATTAAAAGCGAGTCAGAATTACTTGTCTCAGAGGATATTGACCTAAATCCAATTGCATTTTTTGAATTGTTTTGGAATTGTCACATTCTGAGTCAATGTAACGATCCCTCCTCAGATAGTTAGTTCTTGGCGATGGGGAACGATACTTCTCTTCTTCTTCTTCTTCTTTCTTCGTCTTACGATAGCACTAGGCCTCTGCCTATGTTACCGATAGTACAAGACCTTTGTCTTCTATCGGAAACGCCTATGGTAAGTTTTCTCTAACTCTTCTGTGTGAAGAGCTTTCCTTGGCGTAATGATATCGTTGCAATAAAGATAAAGATTGTAAAAGTGTTTTAGATTCATTAAAGTAATAAATAGGAAAAGTGTAACAGGTACGGGTACTTGGTTATTGGTTTTGTTTTATGTTTTGTTTTAAGTATCGCTTTGATACTTGGTTTGTTTTAAGTATCATGTGATACTTGGTTTTGTTTTATGTTTTGTTTTAAGTATCGCTTTAATACTTGGTTTGTTTTAAGTATTGTTTGATACTTGGTTTTGTTTTATGTTTTGATTCAAGTGTCGCTTTGACACTTAAAGAGTTTTACTGAAGTGTATCGATTGATACCTTTGATTAGTTTCGTTCATGCTAGATATGAACAGATTTGTGTACTTAAAGCACC